ATCATGGGGCAACCATTATTAGAGGAATAATTTGAACCCTGGCCTTCTACACCCAATTTGACAAGAGATCTTGGCCCAGTTTTCTCAAATGCGTTCACTGAGATTCTGACACATTATTAAAACTCTACTTCTGTATTTAAAAAAAATTTAACAATATAGACATACCTCTCTTAAGCACTTTCTATAGGTCTTAGAAAGGCCTTCCAAACAATGCATCTTGTCAAAGTGTGATGTCCATGGCCACTAGGAGGGGAAGACTAAGCTGAGTAAGAAGTCAAGGATATGCAAGGTTCTATCATCCATGGAACTGAATTAGGGGAAAAGCACATGAGAACAGCGTATTACAAGGTGGCACCAAGAACAACAGGCACAACATAGGGTAGGAGCAAAAACTGAAAATACGAAAGACACTTGGATTGCACATAGGCAGCCTGAAGATTCAGCTGGAAGGACTGATTTCATGACACTGTCCTGGCTCTCCTCCCCTTATTCTGTAACCTGTCACCTGTTTTGTGGTCCAAAGGCTTCCTGGGTCAGCAGGACTTGTGTGAGTTCAAACACATAGGAGGAATCGTTGACGAAAGCTGGTGATTGTGATTGTACGGAGACTTGGGGGTAACTGTCTGCAAATGACGTCTTTCTCTAGGCACACAGTCCCAAGCTGAATCCCTGAGATTGCAGCCCCTCCATTTCTGTCTGATTCTGAAGATCCTAGGGATTCACTGACTTCTTAGTCCCACGTTCTTCTCCTTTTGTAGACACTGCTCTATGATTCTTGGTTTGGTCTTGCATTCCTCTGTTCTCAGGTTAGTTCTCTGCCTGGCTGTCATAACCCTTTCCCGGAATTCCTTGTCTTTTTTAATTTAATTTTGTTGGACCAGTGGCTACACTCTTGACTCTTCATCCGTGTTGCATGAACAAGTCCAGCTTATCCTTCCGTCAGCCCTTTCTGTTGACATCTCTCTGCTGTCTCACGTACAACTGGATAAAAATATCAGTAGCTTCTGCCAGCTTTAGTTCCAACAAGACTCCAGGTTCTGTGTGGGGACACTATCATGTAAGAGTGATCAGGTGGTCTTGCTAAACTTTCCATTGAGGCAGTGTAAATTAAGTGTATAAAACTCTCTCCAGGAGAAAAGCAGTTGGAAGTTACAAGGGGCATTTTGCTTATTGAGTTTACTGAGGAAGAAATAAAATAATGAGGAGGGAAGGTTTGGAGTACATACAGAAAGGGGTTATCATAACGGTGTTGATGTATAAAAATGTACCACATTGTGAAAGGTCTTAAAACAACAAAATACGATGAATTGTTGGCAGGATAATTTCATTGAAGAAAACAGGATGAGGATTCTTAGGAAGAAGCTACAGGTACACCCATTTGTCTTGATGAAAGGGATAACTTCATTTGTGTTGTTTTAAAATGGAATAGCTTTTGGCGCACCTGGGTTGGCTCAGATCATGATCTTACGGTTCGTGGGTTCGAGCCCCACGTCAGGCTCTGTGCTGACAGCTCAGAGCCTGGACCTGCTTCGGATTCTGTGTCTCCATCTCTCTGTGCCCCTCCCCGACTCACATTCTGTCTCTCTCTCTCTCTCAAAATAAATAAACATTAAAGAAATAAATAAAATGGAATAGCTTTTATGTACTTGTGAAGCCCCTTTCAGTGGAAATATGTAAGTGTTGACCAGTAATAGTTACAAGCAGACGATATAAAAGAATATCCTGCCCGAGAGATTTTTGTAACATGACTTTTCCCCAGCTTCCCTGAGGTATTGTTTATATAAAATGAAATTCATCCATTTTGAGCGAATAGCTAGGTGAATAAGTCAGAGTCAAAATCATAACACATAATAATGAGCTGTAAGTCTGTCATAGACATCCTTTATCAGATTGCAGAAGTTTCCTTCTAGTTCTAGCTTGCTAGGAGTTGTTATCAAAAATGGAAGTTGAATTTGTTCAGATGCATTTTTGCACCTATTGGGAGTAGCATATATTTTCTCCTTTTTTAGTCTGTTAAGCTAGTGAGTTGCATTGATGGGGCCTTTGAATAATAAACTCTGGCATTCCTAGGATATATTCTGCATGATCATAATTTTATTGTATTTTTAATATATTATTAGACTCAATTTATTACGTTTTTTTGTATTTATGCTCGTGAGGGATATTTATCTGTACTTTTCTTATGATGTCTATGTAATCTTGGTATCAGGGTAATATTGGTTTTCTGGAATCAGTTGAGAGGTGTTATGGACTGGATGTTTGTGTCCCCCTCCAATTCATATGTTGAAGCCCAAACCCCCAGTGTGATGGTATTTGGAAATGGGGTCTGTGGGAGGTAATTAGGGGTAGGGCCCTCATGTTGAAATTCACGCCCTCACAGGAAAAGATACCAGAGATAATGCGTTAGTGTGTGCCCTTTTTCTTTGCAGCCCCCTACCCCCCATGCATGCACAAAGAAGTCATGTGAGCACACAATGAGATGCTGGCCACCTACAAGCCAAGAGAAGAGAACTCAGGATGAATCCTACCTTGCCAGCACCTTGACCTTGGACTTTCAGCATCTAGACCTATGAAAAATAAATGTCTGTTGTTTAAGCCATCCGGTCTATGGTGGGTTTTTTTGTTTTGTTTTGTTTCGTTTTGTTTTACAGCAGCCTGAGCAGACTAAGACAGGGGGCATCCTGTCACTTCAGCTTTCTGGAAGAGTTTAGTTCATACACAATGAATAGTTCTTCTTGAAATGATTGGTTGACTTCCCCATTGAAGCCATCTAGGCGTGGAGTTTTCCTTATGAAAAAGTTTTTAAGTACAAGTTTAACTACTTCTTTTCTTTCTTCTCCCCCTTCTTTTGTGACTTCCATTTCTATCACAGTTTTTATTGCTTTCATTATCTCCTCCTGAGCTTGGAAAGCTAAATTTTTGGAGTGCCTGGGTGGCTCAGTCAGTTGAGCATCCAACTTTGGCTCAGGTCACGATCTCACAATTTGTGAGTTCGAGCCCCACGTCAGGCTCTGTGCTGACAGCTCAGATCCTGAAGCCTGTTTTGGATTCTGTGTCTCCCTCTCTCTCTTCCCCTCCTCAGCTTTCTCTCTCTCTCTCTCAAAAATAAATAAACATTCAAAAAAAGGAAGCTAAATTTTTATCTATTTCATGTTATTTGAAAGCTCGTGTTTGTTGATTCTTTTTTTTTCCCCAGAGGCAATGGTTGATTCCTTAATTTTTTAAAGAATTCAATATCATAAGCAAATTCTTTTAATTTGTGAAAAACTGCTGGTCTACACTCCTCAGCTGCCTAGCAATATACCTCTTTTTTGGGGGTATATTTCTTTTTTTCTTTTATTCTGAGTCTGATGGGCACACAAGATCATCCATTTTGGGTTTCTCTTCACCTCTAAATGAAGGTTGTCCTTTGTGAGGGAGGGTTCTAGAAGTTCAGTGGTAGGAAACAGGGAGACTCTGGCATTTTAGAACACACAGTCATTCTTAATCTCATGTTGCTTCAGACACACCACTGCTCCAGGCCAGCAAGAATGTTTTTCTGGTTTAGGGTGAAGCCACTCATTTAGCAAGTATTTTGCATGATGACTTAGCATTGATTTACCATCTCCTGACCAAGATCAGGAGAACTTCCTGAACTCAGAACCGCCTCCCTCTCATTGATTGTTCTGTTTGGCCACAGTATTAGTTCCTTAAGATTAACCTCCAACGAGGTTACATCTGTAGGTTTCTGTTTGTTCCTCTCCTTCCTCTGCTAATAAGCTGTGTTAATAAGAACTTAGCAGCTAGCTTGCCCTTCTAAGCAAGGAATACATGACTTGGGCATTTGTTGCTATCACATTCTTTAAGTATTTGCTGATCATTTATTACCACTCTTATGGTGCAAAAGGGGCACCGAATCTCGCCAACACAGCCAGAACTTGCTTTCCTACCTCTTGCCCAGGTCTGTACTTAAGGTGGAAACTTTGGTGAGGAAGGAGGCAGAGGCAATAAACCGATTCAAAATCCAAGCTGAGGTTGAGCTTGTGTATGAGGACCGGCAACAAGGCCAGTGGACAGGGAACACAGAATGTGCTCTGCAGGCAGGCGGAGACCGCCGAGGCCTGCTCAGGGTCCTCTCCTGGTGTCTCCGGCAGCTCCGTCTGATTTTCACAGCAACTCACCGCCATGCTTGGTACCGGTGTCGGCTTTCTGGCTTTCTTTTTTAAAGCTGAGGTGTCCGATCTAGTGCCCAGCTTTTCCCCTGCAAGCCGACACCTCTGATCCATTCTGTACCAACCGCAGTTTGAAGCTTCGTCCTTCCACGATTCCTTCTCTTATGGTTTGTACTGTGTCTTTTGAAGGAAAAAAAAAATACAAAATTTGGTTTCTGGTTTGTTTTCGTTTTTTTTTTTTTTAGAAATCCAATTCCAGGTGGTCTCCAGTTAAAGGCAGAAAACGTCAGCTTAATTGTCCCCGCCTCTTGATTTGCTAGCAATTTTCCTTAGAATTCACCATTTTTCTGAGTCTGATCATATCAGTGTAGCAGAGCTGATCAGATGTGGTGATGCTGACCCGAGCTAACAAATCTCACACAAAGTATAAAAGCAGAATGCTGACTTGCTAAATTTCACCGGGAGTTATGACCATAAAGGGACAGAATGTTCACATCTCCATAGCTGGTGCCTTTGTTTTTCCTCGTGTGCAAGCTAAATAGAAAGATAATTTATTAGAGGACAATTCAATAAGGATGAATCAAAATAAAATGAGTCAGTGTGATGTTGAGACTGTTTGGTTATTATCACGCCTAATGCCTTGATGTTGCCATCTCTACAATAGGACCCCATCTATCAGAGAGACCAAATGCTCATGTTAGCCTCGGGGTTCCAGGATGGTCAGAACTAGAACAATCTCAGCCAACATTTGCATCCAATTCTTTTTCCCCATGCTCTTCAGCTGAAAAAAAAAATACGGATAGTAGACATGATAATTTCTCATGTTCTTTTCTTCCTCCAGGCATGTGGTAATATTGTACCTGCTCACCTGTGGGCATCAGACATAAGCATATGGTTTCCTTTAGCCAATTAGTTGAGAATGAAGACTGTTAAGAGCCAGAATGTGGCTTGCAACCTTCTCCTTCCCCTGCCAGAGTGATTAATGATGCCTTCTTCATCCTGTGTCTCCAAGTGAGAATGATGTGAAGAGTCTCAAACAAACCCACATCATAAGCAAGGCATAAAACTTTCTCATTTTAAACCACTAATATTTGGGGATTGTTTGTTACCATGGCAAAATGAGGCTCATGTTGATGGATACAGATACTGGTACCCTGTCATAGGGAGTGCTATAAAACAAACTTAAATATGTGGTATCAGCTTCGTGGGTTATATGGCAGATAGTGAGGTCAATTTATCACAGACTGGAAGAGGGAGGGTCAGTATTACTCAGTGGCTAAATTCTTGTTAAAGGAACAACTACTTAGCAGGTATGATGAGGCGTTCATACAGGCTCTGGGTATCCGTGGCTAAGTAGAGAAAGAGAAAGAGGTAAGGGGAAGAGAAAGCCAAGAAATATACAGTAAGACTTGTGACACAAAAGAAACCCGGGTGTGGTCATTGCTCACAGAGCTGACTGCAATGAGACAGAAAAAGCCAAAAATACGTTTTAGAAAACTGTGCTGCAAAAAAAGAATCAACAGCCTAGACTAAAATAAATCACAACAATTTGATACTTACAAAGATCCTGGGGCTCCCAACTGTATACAGGCAAGAAGTGAGCTGACAGAGCTGCTCAGTTTCCAAGAAGGTATCTTGCCAATGTCCCACTCAGATATAGCCAAGGAGGATAATGTAAAACAAACAAAAGAACTACACAGAGTGTGAATTTAGGGAGAAAACTGGACAAGTTAGCTACTCCCAAGGAGGAAAACTAGACCTTATTTAAGAATCATTCCCTGCCAAGAATTGGGGGGAATCCTTACTAGGTCTTTGCAGAAGTTTTTCAGAACTGCTACAGAGAAGACTATGTTATGTGGGACAAGTGGATACTATGTGGTCCCAGTTCTTCCTCTCCAAGATTATCTCCTGCAGCTATCTGTCCTGGTTCCATTACTGCATATTGGATTATGGAGAAGCTCATAGACTTTCAAATTCAAGAAGAGACACATCCAGACCTAACATCAAGATACTGTCTAAAACCAACATATTCCTTAGAAACTCTGGGTTGTAGAATTGATGTCACAAGTAGGAAGAACTTTTGCATCGCTTCCCTTGGGTAGGCTGCATATTTTCCATGTGGGTAGGGGAAAAGACTAAATATTTTCTTAGTAGATTGCGAACTATGACAGTCATTAGGGCTGTTTACCCATCTTTTAGTTATTCCCCTTCTGCAAACCTGAGAGGATTGCAATTGCACAATCTTTTGATGAGAGCCATGGCCATTTGACCTGGATTTGGCTGAGAAAACACGAGCAGCTATGATGTGTGTGATGTCCAGAAAAAAGTCTTTAATAGTCAGTGCGTGCTTTGTTATTCCCCTCTCTCCCTGGTGACTGGCCCCGTTCCAGATGGTGAAAGCTCCGTCATCCTATGTGTCCATGTGACTGATGTGAAATGAGCATGTAGCATAAGCAATAAATGAAACTAGGATGTTTTAGTCACAGTTTAGGAGCATTTTTACATCCTGACCTATACAGCCCCGCACTCAACTAAATAAATTAAACAAAATAGCAAATATTCTAGCCTATTTTCCTCATGATTTCAAGAATCCTGAACGGAATACAGGCAGACCCCCAATGTACTGCATTCTTTTCAAATTGAAGGTCTGTGGCAACCCCGTGTCCAGTGAGTCTATCGGTGCCATTTCCCAACAGTATTTGCTCGTGTCGTGTGTGTCACAGTTTGGTTATTCTCAAAATACTGCAAATTTTTTCATTATTATTATGTTTGTTATGGTGATCTGTGATCAGTGATCACTGAAAGCTCAGATGATGATTTATGTTTTTTTAGTAATAAGGTTTTTTTTTAATTAAGTATGTATATTTTTTAGACATAATGCTATTGTGTATCATGCCAGCATGGTATACGGCACAGTGTATACATGTCAGTATAGTGTAGGTATAGTATGGTATAGACTAGAGTGTAAACATAGCTTTTATATGCACTGGGAAATCCAAACATTCATTTGACTCATTTTATTGTGATATTCACTTGTTTGCAGTGGTCTGCAGCCAAACCTGCAAAATCTCCAAGGTCTGCCAGTATTAGCAAAGGGAACAATTCTCTCCAAAAATGCACCAGAAACAAGTTAGATGCAGCTCAGGAATGCGACAATATTTTAATATAAGAAAATGGGTGTCATTCACTGCATCAACAGATTGTAGAACGAGCCATATGCTCATCTTAATAGATACAAAAAAAATGTGATGGGGAGTCTGGGTGGCTCAGTCAGTTAAGCGTCTGATTCTTGATTTCAGCTCAGGTCACGGTCTTGCAGTTCATGAGTTCAAGCCCACATCAGGCTCTGCGCTGGCAGCATGGAGCCTGCTTGAGATTCTCTCTCTCCCTCTCTCTCTCTGCCCCTCCCCCACTCACTAGTGTGCATGTTCTCTCTCTCTAAATAAATAAACTTAAAAAAAGGAAAGAAAAAATCTGATAAAATTCAAGACCCGTTCAATAAGCTAAAAACAGCAGGAAACTAATTTAACTTCATATAAGATAACAACAAAACTCCTTATGATATGCACAATTATAAATGGGAAAACAATGGAATCATTCCCTTTAGATTTAAGAACAAGATAGGGATTCCCACTTTTACTGCTGTTTAACAGTACTAGATATCCGAGATTGGCATAAGATAAATAAAATAAATTAAGGGCATAAAGATTGGAAGAGAAGAAATAAAAGTGGGAAGGGAAGTGGAAGGGAAGAAATAAAAATTACTGCATATGTTACTGTTTTCATAGTTAATTTAAAAGTATAAATTTTCCGGGGCGCCTGGGTGGCGCAGTCGGTTAAGCGTCCGACTTCAGCCAGGTCACGATCTCGCGGTCCGTGAGTTCGAGCCCCGCATCGGGCTCTGGGCTGATGGCTCGGAGCCTGGAGCCTGTTTCCGATTCTGTGTCTCCCTCTCTTTCTGCCCCTCCCCCGTTCATGCTCTGTCTCTCTCTGTCCCAAAAATAAATAAACGTTGAAAAAAAAAATTAAAAAAAAAAAAAAGTATAAATTTTCCCATTTAAGGGTGAACATTCAAGTATCCTGTAACCTGGCATTTATACTTTTACCTACTTGCCCAATTGAACTTTAGCATATAGGTACCAGGATACATGTATAGGAATCCATAGTTATCCTATGCATAATAGCAAAAGCCTAGAAAAAGAAATGTCCAGTATCCAATGTTTATAGCAGCACTATCAACAATAGCCAAATTATGGAAACAGCCCAAATGTCCATCAACTGGTGAATGGATAAAGAAGATGTGGTGTGTATATATATATATATATATATATATACATACATACATACATACAATGGAATACTACTTGGCAATAAGAAAGAATGAAATCCTGCCATTTGCAATGACATGGATGGCACTGAGGTATTATGCTAAGTGAAATAAGTCACAGAAAGAGAGATATCATATTTTCCCTTATATGGGGAACTTGAAAACTTAACAGAAGACCATGGGGGAAGGGAAGGGGAAAAAATAGTCTCAAAGAGAGGCACGCAAACCAAGAGACTCTTAAATACAGACAACAAACTGAGGGTTGATGGGGGGCGGGGCGCTGGAGGAGAGGGAGAAATGGGTGATGGGCAATGAGGAGGGCACTTGTTGGGATGAGCACTGGGTGCTGTATGAAGCCATGAATCATGGAAATCTACCCCCAAAACCAAGAAAACACTGTACACACTGTATGTTAGCCAACTTGACAATAAAATATATTAAAAAAAAGAGAAATGTCCATTGAAAGAAAATGAATAAGTTTGATACAGTCACCCACTAGAATATTATGCAGGATTGAGAATGAATAAATTCCAGCTACATACATCACAGATAAATTTTAGTTATCTAATGCTGGGTAAAAAAGGTAAGTCTTAGAAGAAACATACAATATGATGTCCTTTACGTAAAGTTTCAAAACTAGCAATAAAAATCTCTACATAAAAAAGTCTAATTGTATGTTAACTAACTGGAATTTAAATAAAAATTTGGAGGGGTGCTTGGGTGGCTCGGTCAGTTGAGCATCTGACTCTTGATCTCAGCTCAAGTTCTGATCTCAGGGTCATGAGTTCAAGCCCCATGATGGACTCTGTGCTGGGCATGAAGCCTACTTAAAAAAAATATTTTGTTTTTTTTTAATTTGGAAAAAAGTGAACAAATTAAAAAAAAACTCTAAAAGGTCATAAACTCAATATTTGATTGAAGGATATATAAGAAGATGTGTCATTATGAGAGGCCCACATAGGTAGACACAAGTTATTGATAATATTTTAGTTCTTAGTTTGGGCACTGTATTCATAGATGTTCATTATTAAGTAAAAATTCAAACAATACCAATAAAGTTAGAGATCTATGCATGGACCATTAATTTTAGATATGGAACTAGGGTTATACTGATTTTATTCTGTACCTGTGTTTACATCTATGCCAAAAATATAATTATTTGTAAATTCAGAGTCAAGTATAATAGAAAATACACACACACACACACACACACATAAAATTAGACTCTAGACAGATGGACAGACACTCATTTTAACTTACACATACAAGTGAATACCAAGAGGTTAACATGCGAGAAGTAATATCTACGCCTAAGAGCAATGGGTTGAAGTCAATGAAATTTTAGAAAGATATTCAAAAAGTAATGACTTATGAAGATGGTGAAGACAACATCAGAAATTGGAAGTGTTCTGTGTACAAACCAATGTTCATCTCTACACAAATTCATGTATTGCAATTTCTCTACTTCTGTTTGTTTAGCTTATAAAGATATGTGACCCTCCCAACCTGGGAACTTGTAAAATAACGATCACCGCTGCACAGATGATACGTGGCCTCAGAATGGTGTTGTCCAGCACTGGGATTTCCTTCAAAAGTATTGGCTTACCAGTGCAGGACTCAGAAAGACTACAGTGTGACTTTTTAGTACAAGAAGTTTCATCTAATCTGAAGGCCTAAGGTAGAAATAATCAGAAATCACCAAGGAAGACTTTTGCTGTCATCATTTATAGTGCACTGTTACAGACTCTTATCAACATATTGTCCCTTTCTGCTTTTACTCTCTTGGTAGAAAATGCCTGCAATCATTTGAAATATAGGCATTTCCCAGCATACATGACTTGGCTTTTACACACAGGCATACACTGATAAAGAAGAGTCTTATATCCACAGTCCTGTTCCATAGTCTCAAGATAACAAGGGTTTTGTAGCTGTTTTGAATCTTTAACCAAGAGTATTTGAGGAGGAAACGACCCAGAAGTATGCCTTTACATTCAGCATTAAAAAAATCACAAGGCACTGGTGCCCTGAGGTATCTACACCACTTTCTTTCTGAAGCATTGTAAGAGAGAGAACAAAAATGAACCTGACATCCAGGTTATAAGTGATAATGCATTCTCACCAGGAATATAATTTACGGTATTTGGTTCACTAACACATACCCCTTACCACTCTATCTTTTTAACCAGGGAATTCAGTGATTCCGTGTATAACTGGAAATTTCTGACTATTATCACTTTCAGGGTAGTTCATTTTAACTATTTACATTGTGAAGGGCAAATTCTTTTATGATACATTACTTTTCTTTGGATAGGTTCACATTACCCAAGGGTGGTCTTAGCTTCAAAAAGGATAAAAAGCTCAATTTGTTAAAATATCAAATATATTTAAATACATGAATTAATAACACAAATTTAAAAATCTAATTTGTTACCTTTGGAGGATAATAGGGAACCAATTCATTATCTTAAAAACTATAAACAGGGGCGCCTGGGTGGCGCAGTCGGTTAAGCATCCGACTTCAGCCAGGTCACGATCTCGCGGTCCGGGAGTTCGAGCCCCGCGTGAGGCTCTGGGCTGATGGCTCGGAGCCTGGAGCCTGTTTCCGATTCTGTGTCTCCCTCTCTCTCTGCCCCTCCCCCGTTCATGCTCTGTCTCTCTCTGTCCCAAAAATAAATAAACGTTGAAAAAAAAAATTAAAAAAAAAAAACTATAAACAAAGCAAACCAAAGCATTTATCTTGCCTTCCTGGTATGAACATATTGTGATTAAATAGATTAAACATCTTTTATAAAAGTATTTTAATTAGGAAATAAAACAAATTATTAAACTACAGTATCACTATTTTATATCCCCAATGGATTACTGGATCTAAGCATTTGTACTCAGCAGCTGCTAATGTCATAAAAACAGAACAACTAGATGTCAAAGTGCTTCCTGAAGAAAAAACACAAAGAACATAACACCTATAGTATCATCAAAGGAACTGACTAAGAGAATGAGCAAGGCAATGGATGTGATAATTTGTCACAATTTTAGATGACTGTGAACATGTGGAAGTGAACCATAACTTGACCCAATCTCAATTTAAAACTCAGCAGAATTTTTATACAAATTGACAAGATTGTGGCACCTGAGTGGCTCAGTTCGTTGAGCATCTGACTCCTGATTTCGGCTCAGGTCATGATCTCGTGGTTTAAGCCCCATGTCAGGCTCCATGCTGACAGTGCAGAGCCTGCCTGGGATTCTGGGATTCTCTCTCTCTCTCTCTCTCTCTCTTCTTCTCTCTCTTGCCTTCTCTCTCTCCCCAGCTCATACACACACTCTCAAAAATAAATGGATGAACTTAAAAAAAAATACTTAGGGGCATCTGGGTGGCTTGGTCAGTTAAGTGTCCACCTTTGGCTCATGTTATGATCTCAGAGTTTGTGAATTTAAGCCCCATGTTGGGCTCTATGCTGACAGCACAGAGCCTGCTTCAGATCCTCTGTCTTCCACTCTCCACTCCTACTCCCCTGCTTGCTCTCTGTCTCTCAAAAATAAACATTTAAAAAAATATTAAAAAAAAAAGAAATTGACAAGATTATTGCAATATTTATAGGTAAATTTAAAAGACAAAGGATAGGTAAAAATAATTCTTCAACATTTATTTATTTTTGATAGAGACAGTGCATGAGTGGGGGAGGGGCCGAGAGAGAGGGAGACACAGAATCTGAAGCAGGTTCCAGGCTCTGAGCTGTCAGCACAGAGCCTGATGCAGGGCTTGAACCCAAGAACTGCAAGATCATGACTTGAGCTGAAGTCGTATGCTTAACTGACTCAGCCACCCAGGAGCCCCAAAAAATAATTCTTAAAAAGAACAAAGTTGGAAAACTTATACTACCTGAGTTCAAGATTTACAATAAAACTAGAATCATCAAGATATATAGATAAATACAAGAGAACTGATATCTCAAGAGTAAACTCTTTCATTGGTTTCAATTGGTTTCACATAATGTTTTAATGGGGAAAATTGTCTTTTCAGTAAATCATGCGCGAATTACTGGTTACCCATAAGGCAAAAATGTCATTAGCACATTATATGACATATGCGCCACGTAGAAAAAGTACTCAAACAGATAAGGGACAAAATGTAAAATCTAAACTATCAAACGTCTAGACTAAACATAGTAAGGAAATCTTTGCTACCTTGAGATAAACAAATATTAAGCCAAAGGCACAAATCATTTAAGAAACGTGATATTAGACTTCAACAAAATTAAAACTCTTGAACTTCCAAAAGCATTGTTAAGAAATTGAACTGAAGTCACAGACTGGGAGAAGATATCCATAATAGTTTTGTCTGACTTGTATCCGGGATACATAATTTTTACAACTCAATAAGGAGAATACATATGCTTAATAACAACAAAAATTTTGACAAAGAGTTGCAAGGATGCTTCACTGAAAAAGATACAAAAAACGAACACACAAAAGATGCCTAAAACTTTGTCATCAGACAAACAGAGGTCACAACCACAACAAAATATGATACACGCTCAGTAGAATGGTTTCAATTAAAACGACTGGCAAAGTCAAGTTTGTTGAAAAGGCGCTGCTCTTGAAACTCAAAAACTGCTGGTGGTAACGCAAAATGTTACAGCCATCATGGAATATAGTTTGGCAGATTCTTATAAAGTTGATGATATTTATCCAAGTGAAATAAAAGCATATATTAGACCTGTCATGAATATTCACAGCATCTTTAATAATCATAGCCCCAAACTAGAAGCAATCCAAACTTCTGTGGACAGGTAAATGATAAACCAGTTATAGTTTATCTATACAATGTAATATCATTCAACAGTGGATAATATTAGAACCAAAAAAGTGGAACAAATTACCAACGTGTACAATTAGTTGGATGAGTCTCAAAACATTATGCTCAGTTTAAAAAACTACACACAAAAGAGTTGAAATTGTTTTCATTTGAAGTAAATTCAAAGGATAAAACACATTTACGGTGATAGAATGCTGATTAGGCATTGGTAGGGACAGGGATAATGGTAAGGGAGAAAGAAGAAAATGTTTTGTAGCCTTAGTACAGTTGATTTTGAAATAATTTGACTTGAGGACACCTGGGTAGCTCGGTCAGTTAAGCATCTGACTCTTGATTTTGGCTCAGGTTGTGGTCGCATGGCTGTGAGACTGAGCCCCACATTGGGCTCTGCACTGAGTGTGGAGCCTGCTTTGGATTCTCTCTCTCCCTCTCTCTGCCCCACTGCCCCCTCTCTCTAAAATAAAAATAAAAATAAAATAAAATAAAATAAAATAAAATAAAATAAAATAAAATAAAATAAAATAAAATAAAATAATTAAATTTTGAAACTCTTAAGGCAGGAAACAGTTCAGCATTTTATTTTTCCTGGTTGTCACAAACAACTTGTTACTGTGGCCCTACTTTAAAAAATAATAACCAACAAGTATCAATTGCTAAATATTTATCAGGTATATTCTATGCCTGCACTCCAAGGTAAAAATCCCTATATTGGTAACAATGAAGCTGTAAATCTCAGTAGCTTAAGACAGGAAATGTAGGTTGGGCACTTCTCTTGGTCAGTTCCCTTCCAAATAGTGGCTCTAGTATGCATACTCTTTCTAATTTGTCATGTCACCAACTCAGAATCAGAAAATTTCTGTCATGAAGGATGGCGGGCAGAAAGAGAAAGTCAAGGATCTGGCAGGAGAATTTCCAGATGGACCTTAAAGAGGGGACACCGCTATTCCTCAAATCATAATGCAGAAGAATCACCTTGAGAGAATTTTACAATCTCCACATGTCATTGACTCCAGGTAGTTATGGGGCCAAAATCAAACTCTAGGAGGAACCTGGAAATTTCGGTTTCGGTGTTTGTAGGAATACGATGGAGACTGATGAGTCGTAACTGTCCACTCCTTGTCACACATGCTTTACCTAATATCAAGTCTCATATATATAAGTCAGAGTGATTAAAACATTGTGGTACATGTATAGGAAAAGAGTTTAGTTGAGAATTCAGAAACAGATGCATATATATAAACATATAAAGTAAGAGTAAAGCCATATCAAATCATAAGTGAAAGAACAGACTCTTCAAGAAGTAATTAATGAGGTACGTATGGGGGAAAAAATTCAGTTCCTTCCATCACAAAAAAAATCCCCAATGGGTTACGCGTTTAAATAACAAAAACAATATTATAAAATTTTGGTAGAAAAAATATAGGATATCCTTATGATACTAGGGTAGTAAACAAGTTTTTAAACAAATGGTAAAGGCTTAAGACAAAAGCAAGAAAGACTGAAAGGCAAGCCACACAGAGGAAAAGTTGAGACAAGCCCTGGTTTGGAATAATGTATGTGCAACAAGTACAAAGAAACACCAAGGATTAGAATCCAGAGTATTTAAAACTTAGTCACCATTGAGAAAAACACAAGACATTAAGTAGAAAACTTGACCCAGGATAAAAATAAGTAACAGTGACCGAGAAACTTATGAAAAGGCATCTAACCTCTCTAACTGTCAAGAAGATTAAAACACAGCCCTGTATCATTTTTTACATATTCTATTGGTAAAAGCTCCAAATCTAAAGCATTATGGGGATGTAGGGAAATCATTCCACTCGCTCACTGCTGGGAAATGTTAAGTTGTAGCTACTTAAGAAAGCACCTTCTCAGTGGTAATTAAAAGTAAAAATTAACTTACCTGTACTTCTAAGTGCAATCTGATACAAACACTTGTATATTTGCATACAGAGGTACGTACAAAAAAATTTATTGCTTTGTTACTTGTAATTGAGAAAATTGTTGAAAATAT